AATGGTAAGTTTGAATGCTGAGATTAGTTTGAAAACCTTTTTCAGCATTAACTTAATTATTAATTTATATGTTGTTTATTCGAAATGACGCTTATATTTTGTCTAATCCGATTTTCCGGCATGATGTAATTGGCAGGCAAAACAAATATACGCGCGTATGCGTACGCACAAAGTTAAAGAGACGGATATAGTAACCATTAAAGGCGTGAAATGGCTCTCAACGTACTTATTTATTTTATGCTTATTGATTGATAGTTTTGAAGGCATCACATTATACACACCTTATAATCGTGTTCACATATACATAATAACTAACACCCATGCTGCTCAGAACTATATGGTAATGGTGCTCAGACGGTTCGGGGTCGGGGTTTCACTTTGTGCTACTTTCCTAAACTGCTTTGAGATTAAAGCATGTGACGTCTTCGTCATCGAAATAATTTATAAGTGCAGGAAAAAAAACACGTCCACTTTGGAATTTAGTTTTGGCAGAAGTGTATTTATGGAACATGTGACGAAGTATGAAGATAAGAGTTTTGCTGATGATTTGAGTGAATATTCGATATTAGAAAACGGTGTGAATCGGACGGGGTTTTTGTGTGTGTAAATCTGTACCCGTGCATCATATGCAGTATAAAACTCTGAGACGACACGAGATGTCATTATTTCAAATTAATGTCATTCGCAATAGTAATAAATGATAGGGCAGTGTTGAAGCGTAAAACAAATGGTTAAACCTATTTGTGTAGGGTTGAGTAAATTTTCTCGGTCACCTGAACTTAATCTGGTTTCTTTCTTTTTTCGCTATCCGTAAAGTTTTTTTTTTATTATTATTATTATTTTAAGTCCCACGAACATAAGGATCCGATGAAGGGCTTTTTTCTTTGTCTGGAAAAAACGTCCAAAATAATGAATTTTCGTTCTTTCTTAAAAAAAAGACCAAATATTGAATGATAGGTTGAACCACAACTGTTCTACCTTCACTCATTCAAGATGATTTGAATATTTTATGCACATTAAAATCAACAACTTTAGTTAGTGCAATTGGATAACAAACATTTCGAATTTTTTTTAATAAGATTTATAAGTTGTAGTTTTGAAAATAACTGATTTTTCTATTCGACAGGTGAAATAGTGCGTGTGTTTGTCTGTAACATTAAATTACTTTGATTTTAAAATTGATTTTTGTCGACTTTAAAATAGAGAAAATAGGTCTATTGTTGACAAAAATTTGTTGTACATTCCAAGTAAAGGTGTCAACCGAACACAGACGGACAGAAATTTGTCCAATTTTGTCCGTCCGTCCGGTCGAAAAAAACCTTAGTGAATTCCCGGACGTCCGATCCGATGTTCGTATATTGTACATTGGATTTCGGACATCCGGTCCGACTGTCCGAAAACGCGAATAGACTTTCGGACGTTTATCGAGAATGTGTTCTATCCAGTGATGGTTTTTTCCTATCTGAATAGCGCTAGCTATTCGCAGCGTCTGAACAGCATTGCTGCCCAGATGCTGAATCGAAGCGGTTGCCGCACGCGTTTTGTACCACACAACATATTGTCATATAGTCTAAGTAACCAGTGAGCTCACAGAGTATGATACACTAATACCATAGTCAGTATACAAACGCATGTCGAACAGAGAACGAACGCGAACGTATATGCTCTTTGTGGTACAAACGAAGTGTGTTGCGCGTGCGGCAACCGCTACGATTCAGCATCTGGGCAGCAATGCTGTACAGGCGCTGCGAATAGCTAGCGCTATTCAGATAGGAAAAAACTATCACTGGTTCTATCACAATCGAGTAAAAATCCGAAAGTCCGTTCTCATTTTCGGAAAATCGGACCGGACGTCCAAAATACAAGGTTCAATATACGAACATCGGATCGGTCGTCCGAGAATTTGCTAAGGTTTTCGGACCGCTCGAACGGACAAGATTTGTTCGGTTGACACCTTTCTTGAAATTCTATCATCGAATCGCAGCACAGATTCAAAATTGACTAGATCAATCATAATCTCAAGAAATTGGGTGCCTAATTTTTTGTTTTTGATAAATTTTGAAAAATATTTAAATAATTGGACTCAATTTGCTTTAAAATGCACACAGTGGAATTGAACAACTGACCACAAACGACCACACAATATTGTGGCTTAAAGACAGTGCGCCCATATATTGAATATCATTCTGAATATTTAAGTATTCGTAAAGTTCTTAAATACTTAATTAAAGTGGTGACACGAATCCAAATTATTGGTTAGCTAACGAGAACACAAATCGGTTTACTTTGGGCGTTTTGTTTTGTTGAAATTAAGATTTCACACGAGACACCAACCATTGGTTATACTATATGGTGCACTAACATTTTATGCAAAACAATAGTTTATACACTCCCAACTGAAACAATAAAATCAATTCAGATCACAAACCACAAAATATTTACCATAAAATATTCAGCATTTGTTTTTGAACAAAGCCAGGCATACTATTATTATAAGAGCGATCGATCAATTTTGTCTAATCAATCTGTAAATCTATTCTCCAAGATTGCAATTAGTAATGAGTGTACTTTTACACCGCTAAAAACGCGGTATGTATTTAGCAGAGCATTGTTTGTGATCCATTTCAGCATTCTACCTTTTAAAATGTTTCGTACGAACCATGCAACGGCACTATGTCTATTCTAACTAAACTTACATAAGTCGAAATTGTTATTCAGTAATGTTTTTAGATTGTGCTTATTTTGACAAAAAAAAAATAATGCAAATATACCACAAAAACCTATTGAAGATCTTGCTTGTTTTAGATTATAAATGCATGAGGTGTACGAGACATATTTCAGCGGCAGCAACAGACTGAATCACAACATGTATCCATGTGCGATATGTACAATTCAATAAATGTGTAGTGAAGGAGCATAATAATTGATATATACATATAGAATAATGGCAAGTCCAATGCTTATGAGCACATGAACATGACAAAAGTGGATATGGCACAGCAACCAAGACATACACCGCAACCACCACCATCACCACCACCGCCAAGTAGTTGAGCCACCGATTTCACCATATACAGTATTCATTTATGAATTTCCAAAGGTTATTCAAGAGAGTATCAAATGGAAATAGCTTGCAAAAAAACTACCCGCCATAGCGTTTTGAGCACACTTTGTATACTTACTTACACTTTATGTGAGCGCAAAATATCGAAAATCATATGCATGACTTAAATATTTAAATATATTTTCGTTGCGTTTTTATATCTTCTCTATCGTTATTGTTACCCGATGCACTTTGGCATCGAATTTTCACACAACTATGCGAGAACAATGTGAGTTTTTCCGTTGGTGTATGGTGTGCAAATGCGCTTGTAATTACACGTATTCGTTGTGTGTCTGTATGGAATGTTTACCACGGATGGTGGCTATATAAAATAAAAGATTTCTCTGGTCGATTTGCTAGGAAATACTGGTGGGATAGGAAAAATAAAACCCATTAAACAATCGAACCAAGTATCAAGATGCACAATTGCACTTGTCTGTCTCAGCACAAAATACGGCTACAAAAGAATAAAACCAAAACTATAAACCGCATGACTCAAATATACCAAAATTCATTCAAAGCGAAGGCACACATATGTACGTACGTATCTCTACAATCCCATTGCATTCACCGCATTCATATTTGTTTGGCAAAAGTATCGAACGAGTAATCGTATATGTAGGTGTATTATCTCAAACAAATATAGCCGAAACGATTGTATTAGGTTCAAACGGTGTACACATATATGGTATCAATAACGGGGGCACGATATAAATTCTTCGCAATAATATTTCACTCTGGGGAAACATATTCAACGATTTCATACGATTAAGAAAACAGTAATAATATTCAGTTGGAATGTTTAACGATATCGATTTGTGAAATTTTTTCAAATGCAACGATTTTCGAATTTATTCTTCATATGATTTGACGCAAGAGAGAAAGAGCTTATCAATTCCAATTGAATATCGAATTTGATAAAAACTCAGCACTTTTTTGTTTCCACTACGTTGTTGTTTTTTTGTCTATATAAACGAAAAAGTTTGGCATACAATTTGTCACATTTTATCAAGATTGAAAAGGCCTTGTTCGAAATGTTTTACCCTGAAGGGTATTCCATTCTGAATTTTACCAAAAAAAACCTGTATAAAATAGTAATTTAAACGGAAAATCCAAAATATAGAGCATGTACAATTGTTAGGAATCCATTTGAATGTGTCCGGTGTGGTTAACGAACGACATCTAGCGAAGCGAAGAAGAAACTCATCGAAATTGAACTTTTTAAGCTTCATATTCGATTCCTTTGGCTTTTTCCTGAAAGGTGCTTTTTGCTTGAAAGCTCAACTTGGAGCATCCCTTTTCAACCTGGATAAAAACGTCTTTCCATTTAAGGATATGCGGATGTGCGATTGCAGTGAAAAATGTCGGTAATGAAAACTCTCGATGTGAACTTTTTGGCTTTTATTTCTCTCATTGTTTTTTTTTTATTTTTGCTTTAATTTGTGCAGCATTCGATACAGTTTGTTATTTTAAATTTTACGGTTAATATTAGTTTTTCATTTATTTAATTAATTTTTTTTTTGTTATTAATTACTATTTGATGCGTTTCAGAAATGTGAATTATGGATTATTTTCAATCAGTTAAATACTCCAAATTCGGTCAATTCTCGTTCGTTTGATAAATACACACTGGGGTGAGTACAATTAAATGTATTTAACACTTTCAAATCCAAATTCTATCGCATTATTGAATCACATTTCATTTTCAATAAATATTTTCTTAATTTTCTTTAATTCACTGTTCATCATTTTGGTTTTATTTTTTGATTAGGTTTTGTGTGTGTGTGCTGTTTATGTCTTATTCTTTAGCATGGAACAGATTCAATATTCAAATATTAACATTAACATTTCTTAAAATCTAAATGATTTATAATCGGTTTATATTCTATATTGTTGGTTGTTTTTTTTTTATTCATGTTGGTTTTCAATTATTTACAGTTTTGGTAGTTATTTCATTTACACATCAAATAATTTCATAGCAATTTTGTATGGAACTTCCGTCACGATAAATATGTACCACATTTTTGTTTCTCACCACGCTATTATAATATATATATATATTTATGTTTTTGGAAACAAACAAAAAATTACATTTACCTGTCCACATTGTAAACATTTCCAGTCGCATTATTCAATTCAATTTTATTGGCTGCATATTTCTAAAACTACCTTAGATAGATCTATTTTTTCTTTGCTAATATTGTTTGATTCCAAAACGAATTTTTGTTTACATTTTTAATAATATTTTAAATAAGAAAGAAAAAACGAAGTCGAAATAATAGTGGGGTATTGTATGGAAGTTACTAAAGGAGAATCCTTTTTTTTGTTCATATTATTTGTTCGTTTACAATTAGAATGTGAATTCAATGAATATAAATTATAAATAACATTTGAATGATGACTTATATGTATATGTATATTACATTGATAACGCACTTGAAATATTCGATTTCATATTCCAATAAAATTGATTGCAAATTATTTTTCATCGTGTGGAAAACGACATTGCTCTGTTGAAGATCGATTATCGTTTTGATGATTATGGAGATTTGGATATGCTTTGATCCATATTAGGCTGTTAAACTGTGTGATTAGACCATATATATGCTTCAATAATTTGTATAAATGCTCCGAATGAAGTTCATCGTTAACAAAAAATGATTTTCAATGTCGAAAATAACAAAAAATATATTTAATATGGTATTGGTTACGATTTTAAACATCATTTGGATTGATATATGTGATATAGGAATATGTCTAGTTTTTTTTTGTTGTCGGTTGATTGATAGATGCATCTTATTTACTACCACTTAAAGTTGTCTGAATTTATTACTTTTGTTTCACTGTATGTTTTCTTTGCTCATATCAATTAATGCGAATCCATTATTTCATCTTAAAATCTAACAACAAACATTTAATATCTAAATCTCTTAACCGCAAAAATGGTTGTTGTGTATTTCTTGGATTTATTCAGTTCATTGCGGGTGTTTTTTTTCTTGTTCATCTCTCTTTCGTATATGATTTTACTTCATATGTTAATTCTTCGTACATGGTATTTGATAAGATTAGGTAGAACACTGATATCGAGATTGAATGATAGTGAGAGAATAGATCTGTCTGATATGCTGAATATCGAGGAATTGTTTTTTTCGTTTAATGAAGTGGATATTATGTGAATGTGAGTGTGTTTTTGTTCTTTATAAATTTTAACTGACCGGTCCAAACTTTGACTCGCTAGATTTTGACTCGCGAGTTGGTGAGGAAAATGTACTAGTTTTCATGAAAAACGCAAAAATTCTATTTAAAATCACTCTCGCAGACATCAATAACACCGTCCTAGTTCAAAATCTGGGGTTTCACATATCTTTTCGTATATATGTTTTTTATTTGAAATATGGTTTGTGGTTTCTATCGCGAAAAAAAAAAGAGTTTGGAATGGCCCGTTTGCTCTTGGCGAAAAAGAGTATATTGTTTTTAGATCATCACAATGTCATGCTGGGGATATGCTGTTTTCATTTTTTTTTCCTTCTAAATAATTTTGATTATTTTTTTTATATCAACAAAAGAATGTTATTATAAACATTGTTCTGTTTGGTTTCGCAGTGAAATCATTTTGTTCAATGTTCACATTGCCAATTTGCCCATATATACATACTCGTAATATCAATAAATTTCAATACCTATATAGCTTATAGTTGATATTTCATTTTGTTGTTGCTGCCTTTTATTTTCACTTTTAAATATTCAATGCAATGAATATTTCGAAAACTTACACGCAACTTTCAGGCCCAGGTAATGTGTCTGTGATTATGTGATTTCGATTGTTGCTGTGATGATTTCGATTCGATTCTTTATTTGTTGAGCTATTGGCGATGGTGGTTGCGTTTGTTGTTGAACTAAGACGACCGGGCGCCATACCAATGATACTTCCACCACCACCACCGCTCGAATTAGGCAATAATTGATTGGCTATCGAGCTATTACTTAAATTCAATAAATCGGAATTATTGGCAATTCGTGCATCTAAACCAAATTCATCCGTGAATTTAGTGCCGTTTGTTTGTTGTCGAAAGTCTAACAGATGATTTTGTATTTGTTGATTGTTTAATATGGATGCGGTTGCTAATGTATGACAATTTTGTGCATAATTTGTTTCATGGATTTTTGTTGAATTTAATTGTCGATAGTCTATTGTGTTTCGTTCATACGTTGAAAATGGATTTGTTGCGGACGATAAAATGGTTTTTGCTTGATTATTTTTAAGTGTGGTGCCGATCATCGCACCGGAAAATGATTGTGTTGGCTTTGTTGCGATTGAATCATAGATTGGTAACTGCAATAGCTGTTGCTGTTGAGAGCTTTTCGACATGGTTTGTGTCTTTGTTTCATTGGTGCGACGCAACGTGCTTGAATGACTAGATGGAGTTATCTTCGGTTCAAACTCTGGCTCCGTTTCCTGTTACACCAAAATACAAACAATATATACGTTAGACCGTTTTTTTGAAAATGATTGATCAACGCTTTTGCGCATTCGTAATTCATTGAATTGCATGCAAAAACTACTTACGAAAGTCGCACTGGGACTGTAATTTGATTTTGATAAAAACAATGCATCTGGTCGTAAAAGTGGGGGCGTTGTTACCGCTTGTTCTGCTTTAAATGACTGCGTACTCTCGGAATCTGCACAATGATTAATGCCATATACAGTTTTTGTTATCCAGATGATAGAGCATATGAATGAAATTCGAGAAAAAGAAACCGAAATGAAAAGACATTAGGAAAAAGTTTTATGTATTGAATGTATTATTATCGGGCGTGTAAAAGTGAAAGTATTCAAAAATTACTTTTTTGTGCATTTAAAATATCTGGTTGTTTTTCGATCTGGCTTTGTTTTATCGTATATGCAACCACATAACGCTGTGTACCGGTTCCCATATCCAGCGGTGCGGTTACAGTCATATCCATTCCTAAATGGTCCGAAAATCACAATAACAATGACCGACCGAAAGAAAGAAAGAAAGTAAAAGGGTTAAGGCAGAGAAGAAAAAAAAACGAATAGTTCGGTGGTTTGTGCAAACAAGAAAGCGTAACAAAAACACAAACACAGAGACCGGCCAAAAGCAAAAACACAAATACGGAAAATGCTTACCCAAATGCTTATCCTTATCGTCGCAAATGTTCCGTGACACGGGATCGCGTCGTTTACGTATCGCCAAAACCACAATCAATAGCACAACGATGCCGATAGCTAACAATGTTCCAGTTAATAAAGCCGCTAATGGTAAAATCGATAAACCAAATCCGCCATCTATCGACAGAATAAGAGAGAAGAAAAAAAAACAGAATGAGAATGAAAATTAGCCGGTTTATGCATGTGAAACAAATTTATGCATGTTTCTGTCTAAGCACAAGATAATAATTTGAAAATAAAATTCGTTTGACTTTTTCTCTCTCTCATGTGCGATGCTCAGCAATCATGAAATATCATATGAATTTTGAAATGTTGCCAAACGAGAAACGTTTTAGTTCAAAACTGTTTTTATCGGTGTGTGTGAGTGTGTAGTGAGTGAAAATAGGCAAAAATGTTTCCATCGCAAATATTTGCACAATACATTGTTTGAAAGTCCAAAAGCACATCATTTTTGAACAATGTTATCAATAGCCGAAAACGAGCACACCGAGTTATACACACAGACACACACACACACGCACATACAATCAACATAAAGAAATATTTGGCTCTGCGGAAAATTTGATGTAATTCTATTTTTATTTGGTACATTCTCTGTGCGCAAAATTAAAGCTAATGACCGCAACGAAACAACCATTTGCCAGAAATGGCAACAACAAAAACTTCAATATGCGTTAGATATATCCCAAAAAAAAAATTTGTTACAGATATAACAACAACAACAACAAAAAAGCGAATGACAATAGAATATATAATTTGATACTCGAGAGGATTAAACTTGTTCAGTATACGGAAAAGCACATAAAATTGCTTGCAACATTTTAACTAAACAATATTGTTATTTCCGCTTATGTGTGATGGCATGCATACGAATGTCAATCGTATACAAACGCAAGAATCCACACTACACACACCCACAGTTTGTCACAGATGATCAATACAAAAAAGCTAAACAAAAGCAGCACGACGGTATGTATAATGCTGAAATAACAATAGCTCATACAATCTCTAGAATAAAAGAAGTGCTGGGAATGAATGAAGGGAGATCGACACTCTTGCACACATTGCATTTGGTATACGAGTTTTTGGGTAAAACGAGCGAGAGCTCCGAAATAGTGAATATCTGTTGAGACCGACTACCGAACCAAGTACCAAATGAACAACGATACCGTACTGAAACTTCTAATAAAGGGAAAAAGCATAAAAATGAAAAGCATCAAAAGGGATGACTGTAATAAAATGCAATTTTCTGTCGATAGTCAAACAGAGCGCTCGTATTTCATTTTCTCGGCACACAGAGAATTGAGCGGCAGCCGTTGTTATCACCGTTTCCGTCATCGTTCATTGTCATCATCAGGCAATGATTGTAATGATGATGCCGATGCTGTGTGCTCTTGTCTTGACAAATTACGGAAAAAGTTTATAGAATTTGTCTATGGAAGTGATGTGATGTGTAACACGGGATTATATAAATATGTGGATACCGTTACAGATTGAGTGAATGATAAGTTTACAGATTCTTGATGCATGTGACACTCTCCTTCTATCCGCTGCAACAACGACAATGGCAAAATATTTTGCCCATATAAAAATATGATGAATCAAAAAAAAAACTGACACCATAAAATTAGTTTCGCTTCTTCTGGATTTTAATTACACTTTTGTTCTTTATGTCGCTTAGTTTTAGAACTTTTGAGATTTAAGCCGCGATTGTCGTTTTCATTGAATTCCAGCCACTTTTTTTTATATTGTCTCACACATTTCAGTTTATGACTCATTTCATAATTCAAAGAGAAGCTTGATTTAAGTACTTTGCATATAACTTTAGTTAATGTGCTCACGCGTGTACACTGTTCTGTTTTTCGAACATGTTTTTTTGTCTCACTGGAATTTTTCGTACATTAAAAAATATGTATGTACGTAACGGAAATTTGATAATAAAAATATATTTGCTTTTTTAGTTTTATAAAAAAACGCGACGAGGAAAATGTTTATTTATTCCCTTATCCATTTCGTGTACAATGTGATAGTGCCGAAATTTATATGGCGAGTGACATATACAGAATGTAACCTAGCAAACAATTCTTATTTGGTTTTGAATGAACAACTCAAAGTGAATTTTATTGCACAATAACAAGTGTGTAATTAGAGTGTGTGCTCAAAACAACAATGTTGAAGTTGTTGGCCATAAAATGCATCGATTTTGCTTAAGTTCATGCAACCAATCTGTTTCTGGATATTTCTCTCATATTTGAAATGTAAACTCTCTATTAATACGATTGAATAAAATAGTTAAATGATTTAATGGGCATTTTTGAGTTGAGCATCTCGTTTATCAACTAAATTATTCATGTTTAATTAAATTGCTTGGATGGTTGATATTGCTATGCATGAACTTATAAACTGATTACCATAATGCATCAAAGTCAATTAATATCGATTTCAATTTTGAGTACGCAGCCCGATTTAAATCTTGTATAGTTTTGATAGTTTTCCAACAATATCGTTTTATTCTGATTGAAATTCCGTGCCCAAAATTTATCCAAAATATTTATAAAATGTTCCAAAAAATACATATTGTTGAATTTTGTTCACCTCTAAAGCCGTTTTTGTGCAATTTTTCATTTTAAAAACTCAAATTATGGATGAAACACCACGCGTTATTTTCACTTTTACTAAATCCAAACCAAATGTAGACATCAACATTTCAAAATACCAAAATAAAAGCAAAGTGTCACATGCGGTGATTTAAAATAATTCAAAATGATTTGAATTGCTTTCAATTTACAGGGTGTGCCAGAATAACTGTCGGGTTTATATGTAATATTCATCCGACAGCTACAAAATGAACAGGTTTGCATGAGATTTATTTAACGTACCATTAAACGATAAAAGGAACGTGGCACTGTTGACATACAAGAAAAAACCAAGAGAAAAAGATCCGTTCGTACAGAAGCACTCATCAAACAAGTCAAAGCCAAAATTCCAGACAATATATTTAGCTGCCGTCATCTGAAAATTTCAGCTCATCTGGATGCCGTCAGCAGATGATGCGAAGTGAAAACAATAGAAGTGATTGTTATAGTAATACCAGTATATAACAAGCTTATATACCTATAACAATCACTTCTATTGTTTTCACTTCGTATAATCTGCTGACGATATCCAGATGAGCTGTAATATCCAGATGACGACAGCCAAATATATTGTCTGCCAAATTCGCATGAAATGCGTGCCGCGTGCGACTTATTTTCAATACGTCTGAAGCTAGTAATCAAACAAAATGGGGCAAGAATCAAATCCAAAGACCAAATCTAAAATTTTATGTTAAATCCTACTAGAAAATAAAATCAAATCAAAATTCCACTCCAAATTGTCGTCTTTTGAGACATATATAAACCCGACAGTTATTCTGGCACACCCTGTAATCGCAATCATTTAAAGAGATTAAATTTTCATTTCGTAGAAATTCAGTCATTTGTAATTGGTGTCTACCCCCTAATATGTTTCAGTTGAAAAAAAAAATGTGGGATATGCATTGAAGTAGAACATCATTTTGAGACATGCCAACAAATCAAATGTTGTGTGGTAATAAATTTATGATTTATTGAGATGTCAAATTTTTTTTGCGTCGCTTCAATTGATGCTTTTACATTATAATGTTAATCATTTTTGACGATCGATAATTGCGATCAACCTAGCGGAAACGTTGATTTATTTGAACAAATCATTCGAAATGTATGGAAAAAGGAAGCAGAAAAAAAGCGCGTCAATTCAGCAAATACGTATAAAAACAAAACAAAAAAAAAAAAAAAATAAGTCATACTATATTTCTTTCTTTCTTTCGACATTTGTACTTGCACACATTGCTTTCGTTCTACGGTTCGCATTTTTCTACTGTTTGCATTGTAAATTTGTATGTGTCAGTATTTGTTTTTGATTTAAATATCTGTCTGATTTTGTGTTCTATTTACTTTTAAGCTATAAATTATTTTCCAGTGAATTCATTCAAAAAGTGAACGCAAAAGAAAAACACCAACTTTCATCGCAACCACTGTATGGCAAGGGAGTGAATACATACGCACAGAGAGAAGGATGCAGAAAAGTGTCTATGTGTGAAAGTAAGAGAGAGAGGTAGAAAAAAATTGTAAAAACGAAACATGATTAGACTAAATAGCATGGCATAAACGAACCGTACAAAATTACCGTTTGCACTGTCATGCAAACAGAAAAGCATTTAGAGACACGACGAATAAAACGAAGAGCAAGAAAAAGGAATAAACAAACAATTATGCTGCATGGATTTGCAAATCCGAATGATTATGAAATTGTATTTCGGGAAAATTGTACATGGCAACGATGGTGTTTGTGCGCTAGTAATGTTGGTTTTTATACTCTATCTCTGATTCACGCTCCTGTACCATATATTTTCAATCTCTTTTTCACTTAGTCTTTAAAAAGATTCTATTTTTTCTTTCTTTCCTCAGTTGTTGTCACACGAGTTCGTACTTTAAATACTAGTTCACCATTTTATCATTTAGACAAATGGAAATGGGCGCAAAAAAACGTGAAACACGATTAGAAATGTTTTTGTTGTTGCTGAAACGATGTACCGCAGCCACAAAGATTTGCACCTACTTCACCCTACTTCGAAAATGCGTACTTGCTGCGCGATACAATGAAACAAATTAGGAAAACTGTGTTATTTACACCATACATCATTTAGTTAACGGAAGTTAGTGAATGTAATGAATCAAGTAAATATTTATTCAAAAATATGAATTATGTAAATGACACAATCATTTCATAAGTTAAAATAAATAACAAAAATGTAAGGTGCTTTTTTTGCATTTCGAATGTTGCTTTTGTTCAATTTGATCCTCTTATACAGGTTGATGTGTAGGTGTATTCATCCGCTTTTGTTTACCTATTTTCTCAAACAAACTAGAAACATTTCGTAAAAGTTTTTCCGTTTTTTTTTTTCGTGTGTGAATTAAATGATTTATACAAACTATGCGAATAAAGTAAGTTTGCATTTAACAAGCATTGTTTGTTGAATTCATCAAAACCTTCAATTACATCAAATATTAGAATGTGTTGCTCATTTCATACGTATT